ACTAGATCATACCTTCCAAAAATTCCAAAAATCGGCCAAACGTCGAACTCAACGATCCCGACGTCCAAAACTTCCAAACATTACACTCCGAGCATCCTTGGAACTTCCTTAAGCTCACTGTGATCTTAGTTTGGCCTAAAACAAAGCCAATTTGAAGTTCGTGAATAGTGCAATATTACGGTGACACTGAAACTAGGGTTTTCCGAAGTGAAACTCACCTGAGTTTGGTATCCCCGAGCTCGTGAAGTCCTCAGGATCATGATGGTGGTCTTAAATGGAACGTTGGTACAAGATTGTGGTGGTTCTTGGTGGTTGCCGTGAGTTCGAGAGTAAGAGAGAGAGTGAGAGAGAGTTTTCTGAGAAGAATAAGAGAGAAGGAAAGGTTACGGGTTTTAGGGAATGTTTTGAGGGTAGGAGGCCCTACCTAAGTCCAAACACAATTTAACACATACAAATATAAATCTAACCCCAGTTTAGGATCTTAGAGTAAAACAAATGTCATACATTTACACACCTTAATCTCGTTTAAGGTCACATTGGTCATTTCACGTCCTCGGAATTAAAATTCCGGGACGGGCTGTGACAATTATCTTATAAATTTTGCGAATTATTAATTTAGGACATTATTCCCAAGTTAGGATCGGCTAAAAATATTATTTAACCGAGGGTATTAATTGATCGTGTATTAATTATTAAGGTTGTACTGTATATGATATGAATATTTTTTGTATTAATATACCATAAAAGTGGAATATATTAGAGAGCTTTATATTTAGAGACAAAAACTTTCACTATATTTCAAGGAATTCCACTAGTTTTTAAACATGTCAATGAGAGACAAAAACATGGAAACAACTAAAGCCCAGCTCAAAAAAACATGGAAACAATGTTTTAAAATATCAGTCACACCTGTAAGGCTTAATTTAGGTTTGTTAATAGAACCTAGCCTTCACAACTCCAACAAAATTAATGTACCATAAGCTCAACCTATCTTCAACTGTTTTTGCAGAATCAGTTTTAAAACTATATGTAGAATCAGTTTGCATAATTTATTACTAGAATCAGTTCAACCTGTCTTCAACCATTTTTGCAGAATCAGTTCAACAAATCCTTAATCATTTTTGCAGAATCAGTTCAACTTGTCTTTAACTATTTTCGCAGAATTAGTTCAATTAATCCTCAACCATTTTTACATAATCATTTCAATCCATCTTCGATAATTTTCGCATAATCAGTTCAACTTATCCTTGATTTTTTTGCAAAATCAATTCAACTCATCCTTCACATTTTTTGCAAAATCAGTTCAACCCATCTTCAATCATTTTTGCAGAACCAGTTTAACCCATTCTCGACCATTTTCGCATAATCAGTTCACCCTGTCTTCGACCATTTTTGCAGAATCAATTCACCTTATCCTTTACAATTTTTGCAGAATCAGTTCTACCCGTCTTCGACAATTTTTGGAGAATCAGTTCATCCCGTCCCCGACCATTTTTGCAGAATTAGTTCATCATGTCCTCGACTATTTTTGCAGAATCAGTTGAACTTGTCGTCGACAATTTTTGCATAATCAGTTCAACCCGTCATTGACCATTTTTGCAGAATCAGTTTAATCCATTCTTAATAATTTTTATAGAATCAGTTCAACCCGTCATTGACTATTTTTGCAGAATCAGTTTCAAATACATGTACAATCAATTTTGTATAGTAGAACCAATTAGTACATATAGTCCAACCCCTCCTTGATCGTTTTGTATAGATTTTAGAATAATAAGTTTTCAATATGTACAACATCAATAAACATACAAATATGTCATTAGCCTAACTTAACTTCGACCACTTTTTCAGATTCAGTTTCAAATACATGTAGAATCAGTTTTATATAGTTTTTAGTGAATCAGTTTGTATAGTTTTTAGCAAAATCAATTTCAACCCAAAAAAGATATTTAATTCTTCATTCCCCACTCTTTTTGCAAGAGAACTGACCTTATTTACTATAAACACTCCATCATATACTATTTCCATAACGAGAGGGAAAATGTGGTTGGAAAACTCCCCACCTTAAGTCTTGACAGGCTAAAGTGATTTTCTTATTGGAAAATGCGTGCTTGAAATACCCTTGAATATAGGGGTGATCATGATTTGGTTCGGTACGGTTCAGGGTGAAACTGAAATCGAAATCGAATTTTTTGTGGTTCAGTTCGGTGCAGTTTTGAAGCTTGAACCAATATGGAACCAAACCATTTGGTTGCGGTTCGTTTCGGTTTTAAATGGTTTTGGTTTCAGTTTCAAAGCATTTGCCAACTAGATACATTATGTCATCGATACAACACAATTGAAAAAGAAATTCATGATCACGCTACTAAAAGTCAAGTTGAAATAAAGATTAATGTTGTTATATATCAGCTTGACCTATGAAATAAGTACACAATTGACAAATTAGATAGCCTAGAAAGAACATTTTCCGAGTGAAGTAACATTTTATATGTAGATACACACCACACATTAGTCAAGCAGATGTCAAGGTAGCTAGTTTCATACCCTGGAAGCTTCAGATCATGCTCAAACTGAAACACGAGCTTTTTTAAATCATGGACATGGTCTCAGATGAGGATTGATCCACTTCACTAGTGCTTATCAACTTGGGAACCTTCTAAGAAATCTACCCATGAAATTCTTGGTCAGGGCAATCTTCTCCCACATCAGTACTACTTCTTCCACTAATATCCTAGTGAACATGATTAGGTCTCTTGCAGCACTCCACGGACTCGACCATGTCGTTTTGAAAGGGCGACCCGGAACAATCTTGAGATTTGCAGCCTTCATGAGAACACTGTGAAATCTCATTTTTCTCAGCCCATATTTATTATTTCTCTTGGAACAAGATTATTGAACCCGTTCAGCATCTGCTTCTATTCTAGTACCACTCCATTTATTTACATCTAAACAAACCCATGAACATGATGATATCAATAAAACAAATTAAAGACATAATTTATAAAAAACGTAATTAGAAAATAATTGTGTGTGTGTGTGTATATATCATGTGTTGTTCAAAATATATACCTTGTTCTACACCTAATTGAAACCCAATTACCAATTCACACTTAGTAAACACACGGATTTCACAATTCACATATAAAAATCTCACCGGATGCGACTACAACTCAGCTTCACGATCAGAGCCTTCTTCAGGAACGTCGTCGTCTTAAGTTGAAGGTTTCTGAAGCTTAGGAATATGCTACTGCGCCTGCTGCTGTTGAGTCTAGTTGTACTCCAGAGCACCAATTGTGCTGCTCCTCCGGTTGAGAGTAGCAGCATTTGCCATCAGCAACAGTCTGGTTTCACGGAGCTTGGAGCCGATTGCAGGGGAGGTATAATTGGGGTGTTAGTATATGGTCCAGCCCATGATGAATGTTCTAGATTATTCTAATAAGCAAGTGAGGTGGCTGAAGCATGCTAGACAATTTTAGCATGTTATTAAGTTGATGGAAGAAGTTAGAGAGTACTAGCTTCTTTGGTTGCAAATGCAAAGATCTAGAAGCTACAATTTTGTGGCTAGTCTAGAATTTTCTATGTTATAGGTTTGAAGAATTCACTAGAAACTAGTAGAATGCCAAACCCTCACCTATAAATATGGGTGTGATGTTGTAGTGAAGTAACCAATCAAGAACCAAGTGTGAGTAGCAAATGATCAAGTCCAAAGCTAGAGTTCCACTCTAAGAGTGAGAGTAAGAGTGTTCCACTACACATTGTGTGAGTGAAGTTTAGAGTGATAGAAAGTGTGTGTACCGACATTCCTAACATGGGGGTGATGATGGCAAAGCAGAGGAGGTGGTGGGGAGGGACGTAGATGGAGCCGTACGAGGAAGGAGGCCGGTCCTTCATCGCCAGGAGTGAGGGTGTCGAGAAGGAGGCAATGGGTTTTGTATGTGAAAGCGACGACGGGTGAGGGAATTGCAGAGAAAATGACCAATTGAAGGATATAACAGTGTGAAAAGACTTTACTATAAACTTTTGTCAAATATTTAAAAATGTTGTTTCAGTATAAAATTAAATATTAAAAGTTTACTTTTAAGTGTAATTTTTTCAAAAAATAAAAAATAAAAAATTAAAGGAAAATATTTTGAAAATTAAATTATCATACTTTCTCGCCATCATTACATGTATATATTATACATACAATGGAGAGATTTTTTAGTGTGATCGGTGTATGAAGTGCTACATCACATGTCGTTATACAAATTGTTAGATATGTATGTTAAAAAGTTAATAACTTAAAAAATAAAATTTTACACCACTTTATTAAAACACATGGTGTACCCCATGTGTTCTGGTTACAATAAAAAATTTCTCTATACAATGCATGACCCTCATTTTTTATTGTATTTTCCTTTTATTTTCTTCTAACACCATCACACAATCTTCATAATTTTCCTTATTTTTTATTATATTTTCCTTTTCCCTGGCCACCAGCAACTTTCACTCATCTTTCTATTTTTTTATTCTTTTCTCTTTTCCCACTTTCTCCAAGTATATGTATATGGGTGAGGCGTTGGTGCCTACCTAGGGAAGAAAGAAAAATGAAAAAGGTGCAAGCATTTGACAAAATTATCCCTGCATTTTTTCGGCTGGTTTTGATTCCATGTAATCAATATTTCAAGTGCGGATAGACAACTCTACCCAAAAAAAAGAAAGTTCAATATTTACACTAAATGAGTAATATTAGATTATGTTAGAAGAAACTCGTAGATATTCCACGTAATAGTGAAATATTAATTATAAAAAAAATCTTTTTTATGATAAAAAAAAATTATTTTTTCATGACAAAATTACTCCTACATTATTTTGTGCAATATTTTAGATTGTTTTTGAACTTTTTTTTTTGAGTGGCATTTTTGTCCCACTATTTTTGGTGAAGCTCGGAACCCAAAACTGGGCTTCCTGCTTTATATATAGAAGATTTATTGACTTGGTAATAAACCACCACATATATTTCAAATTAAGATGATAGTACTTCACCTCTCCAGCTTGGATCTCCTAGCCAATTAATCTCGCGGAGGTATTTCCATGGCCGGAGAGAACATGGGACCAGCAGTACTGGTTCCAATCAAACTCACGAGTGATAATATATATGGCTATCAACAGTGGATATCTTCCTCTCTTTCATATTTCGTTACCATAATCTTCTTGGAATCATTGACGGAACAGAGACTCGTCCTGATCAGCAACTTCATTCTCCTGAGTTTGTTAATTGGAGTAACAGAGATCAAAAGGCTCTTGAGTGGATTAGAAACACTGTGTCTATAGATCTCCACCACCGTGTCACGGCCGGCGCCGACTCTTCACGAACGGTGTGGAGAAACCTCAAGAAACACTTCGAGGGTCTCCCTCTTGCTTACATCTATAATCTCAAAAGTGAACTACAAAATGTAGAGAAAGACACAGCCATGTCGATGAATGACTATCTGCAAAAGATCTTCAATCTGAGGCAAATGCTTGCAGATGCCGGTGCTCATGTGGAACCTTGGGACTTAATTTATCTACACATCCTGACGGGACTGCCAAAGGAGTACCGTACAAGAATAGAAAACTCTAATCCACGTACTTTCCAAGAGGTGCACTACTTGTTGTTGAAACAGGAAGAGGAAATACATCTGCTGAATCAAGCGACGAGGCCGCCTCCATGTACTGTTTCTGGCAGTGTTGTTGTCGCTCCCAATTTGCATCATCCTTCTCTCTCTCATGATAAGGGTGGCGGAGAAGAAGAGCATGCGGTCGGTATCGATCTGGGAACAACGTATTCCTGCGTAGCCGTGTGGCAGAAAGATCATGTAGAAACCATTCTGAATGATTACGGCAACAGGAAAACTGCATCATATGTTGCATTTACAAACACTGAGGAGGCGATGATAGGCGATGCGGCATTTAACCAAGTTGTGAGAAACACCGCCAACTCGATCTTTGGTATGTAGGATTTGAATGATCAGCTTATCCTATCCTATCGCAAAATTATGTACTGTTAGTTTCTTTTTTAGTTCTCTTGACTGATCGATATTTGTTTGATTTTAATAACTAATTAATTTGCTGTCTGGAGGGATCACTCAAATTACCTTTAGAGAAATACTTTGTAAAACCCACATCACATTATATTTTAATGATCAAAACCATCATTATTGCAAGGGTAATGCTAAGGAGACCAAATTTATAAATTAAATTTTGTAAATCAATTGATATAGTTATTGATAATTGAATTATTACTTAAATATTGATTAACGTGCTTATGTTTTATTGATGACACATTATTTAGTTTGTAAATTTAATTTAAAAATCTAGTCTCCTTAATTAACATTATCTTTATTGTAAGTAATTAAATACTAGAAATCATTATAACATTTACTTGTAAACAAAACATAGACGAAAACGGTTGAAGAGAACAATAAAATGACAACCGTTTACATATATTGATTTTTCTTTGAAAAGAAATTCAAGTGTGTTACTATTATTATTACTAGCTAGTATAGGCCTACACATTTTGTGTTTATGAACACTTTATGTTTTTGTTTTTAAAATGGGAAGGAGAGAGGGGGAGAAAGGACGTGGGTTGGAGTGGGATTGAGAGGTTTTTGTTTTTTTTGTTGTTGTTTTTGTTTTTTGTTTTTTTAAATACTAGATATATCTTAACATCACCCGTAGATGACGTTTCAATAAAAAAACAGTAAAATTTTGTTTTGTGATCAGCCTATATCACCAGTTAATTGTATTTCTATATGACAGATTTTTATATATTTTTTATAATACACCTGTATAATATATATTGCTTATAGGTATATTATGTTTGTGTTCCTTTTAGTTAGGTTTTATATATCATGTATAGGTGTTATACATTAACATATTTGTTACTTGAGTTAAGATCGTATGTTCTACAGATGAATTGATGTTAGTATATTAGTTTTTTTTTTTGTTAAAAAGTATTAAGTATATTTATTGGAATTGGAAGATGCATGAAATTAGAAGATTTTAATTTTTTGTAATATTTTTAGAAAAAAATGTAAAATGAGTATAAAAGAAATAAAAATGGAGAAAAGATAATGTTGAACTTAACCTAATAATAGGTGGCAATATTTTCATAAATAAGTTAAACTTTTGTGGCACCAATTGTTTCTACATAATTAGGTCAATTGTTTCTTAATCTTAAGAATTCTCTAAGAAACAATAATCTAATAATCTAGAAACAGTTGACCTTTTAAGTAATTTGAAATAATAATGTAAATACAGTTGGTGCCGCCAAAATTTAACTTATTTACAAACATGCCACGGCCACTTTTTTTCTTTATTATTAATAAAAATTCATTAGGTGTTTTTTATTAAAAAAATTTTGGGCCATTTTATTAGTTTCCCTTATTAATAACAATTTCCTATCCAACTTTGCATGATTTGCAGATACAAAACGATTAATTGGAAGAAGATTTAGTGAAGATTCTGTTCAAAGTGATATGAAGCTTTGGCCATTCAAGGTCACTCAAGGTTCGGATGACAGGCCAATGATTGTGGTTACCCGCAATGGTGGCGAAGAGATACAAATTGCTCCTGAAGAAATCTCATCCATGATTCTGGAAAAGATGCGTAAGATTGCTGAGACTTATCTAGGCTCACCTGTGAAAAATGCAGTCATCACTGTCCCTGCTTACTTCAACGATTCCCAGCGTCAGGCTGTAAAGGAGGCTGGAGTGGTTGCTGGCCTAGATGTAAAGTGTGTTATTGACGAACCAAGTGCTGCTGCCCTTGCTTATGGCCTTCACAAGAAGACCGGTTGGAGTAGCAGCAGAAATGTGATGATATTTGATTTGGGCGGTGGTAGTTTAGGTGTCTCCTTGGTTACCATGAATACTTCAGGGACATTTCAAGTCATGGCAACGGGTGGAGATGGTCACCTTGGCGGTGAAGACTTCGATAACAGAATGGTCAATTATTGCGTTGAGGAATTCAAAAGTAAGAGTAAATTGGACGTGAGCAAAGACTTCAGAGCGCTTAGGAGATTAAAGAATCAATGTGAGAAAGCAAAAAGGAGACTCGCATTTGAGTCTGACTTTGACATTGAAATTGATTGTTTGTGTGAGGGTAAAGATTTCAACATAACATTTACCCGTGACATGTTTGAACAACTTAACAAGGACTTATTCATCAAGTGTATGGAGTCAGTGGAGAAGTGTTTGAAGGATGCTAACATGGACCGAAGTAGCGTCGATGATGTTCTTCTTGCTGGTGGCTCTTCTAGAATTCCAATGGTGCAACAACTATTACAACAGGCTTTCAAAGGGAAGGAGCTGTGCAAGGGCATTAATCTGGATGAGGCAATAGCACATGGTGCAGCTGTTCAAGCTGCAATCTCCTGTGGGAATGGAAAGGGGAAGCTTCAAGACTACATTACTCTTTCAGATGTCACTCCTTCGCCAGGGGCAACTCCCTTGGCAGATGCAACTGATACGACGGCACGGGGCAAACCACATTCATGGACCAACCCCTTTTCTTCGATATTTGGTAGTAGCAAATGATCCTGTTGCAGGATTGGCTTTCTCGCAGCCTCTTTCCTGCACCATACAAAGCTTTCCTCCGTTCTTTTAGTGAATAAACTATGGCAGTCTGATTTGGGTGAAGATTTTGGATATTTTGATGGATTAAGTTATTTTGCGTGTTTGTAATAACGAGTGATTAATTACGGTTATAGACCAAAATAAAGAAGTGTTTGGTTACTTAGGGTTTTTGGAGGAGGTTATACCTCCGAACCTCTTTGTTTAGCATATGTTCTCTCAAGGCTTGTTTAATACAATTTTAGTTTCTATGTTTAATTGTTTGTCAGCTTTTACAGAAAGTTTCGTAAAAAGAAACAAGGGAAAACATGTAGGAGAATTGAGGAATGGAAAATGAAGAGGGAGGAGGGAGAAATGAAGTTCAGAGAGAGGGGCCGGAGCGGGGCTTTTTTATTGAAATGGGAAGGCCCAACGTAAGGGTTTAGTTTCCAATGAAATACCGGAGGAATTCTCTATACACGGCGGAGAGATTCTCGTTTTGCTGGGCATCTTGGATCCAGTACCGCATCATAGCTTCCACCAATCCTTTATCAAAAGGAGAGTGTGGGTCATTCAGATTTAAACGATTCATAAAGTTGTTGATAAATGACTTAATCCATTAGCTTCGCTGTCCACAACCTTTAATGGACAACGTTGTACGACTGAAATTGGTGGCAGTCCACAGACATTTCTTAGGAAAGTGATTTTCGCATACTTTTTTTTTTCTTTTCTCCTTGCACAATTATGTTTAATTTTAGATATTAGATTGAAAACTGGCTCCTTATTCTTTGGGATAGGTGAATAAATGCCCTTTAGTACGCTCGACATAAGTTTACAAGATGGCTATTTCAATTAGTGAGTGGTACGAGGAAAATTTTATTCGAACTCATATTTTGTATCTTAACATCCAGCTTACTTTTTATACCCACATGGTATTTAATTTATTTATCATTATCTTTTTACACCAAACATTATTTCCGAAGCCGCCCTTACTTATCAAAACTCAACTCAACCATACTTTTTTTTACACTCAACTCAATCTACTTACAAATAAAAACATAAAACCACGAGTCCATCATCTCTATGGAGCCAAGCCCCTTCTCTCTTTGTTTAAAAATCCTTTCATCTCCCATGGTTGTCATTCTGCACCCCCATCTACTTCTCGATAGTCATCCACACCTCTTCCTCTTCATTTTCTTCATCATTTGACATCTCTAAATATGTATATATGTATTTATTAAGCACTCAGTCGTTGCGAGATTTTGCATCACTTTGTCTTCATTTTTAATATGTATATATTAAGCACTATTTTTATGGCACTGCATTTTTGCTTACCATCCCCAAGTGGTGATAATGCTCACAACTTTATTTATCACTGTTAGTTGAGTTTAATTAAATTTTAATATTGTATTTATCCACTTAGCCGACCCCACTTAGTGTGAAAATGCTTTGTTGTTGTTGTTGTATTTATCCACTACACAGATCTTAAAATTTAGCTTTTTTATTTTTTATATATATATATATATATATATATATATATATATATATATATCCTTTGGCTTTAACTTTAACTTAGCTTTATTTATTTCCTTTTCAAAGAGCATTTATATTCTTTGGCTTTAACTTTAACTTTAACTTTAGTTTTATTTATTTCCTTTTCAAAGAGCATCTTTTAGTTAAAAGGTAGAGGAAAATGCTTTTCCTTTAGCTTTAACTTTAGCTTTTTCCTTTTATTTATTGATTAGGAAGATCATTCAATAATAAGAAAAAGGAAAGAACTGACTCATTTTTAGCTTTAGCTTTAGATTTAACTTTGTCTTTTTATGTATGGTTGATGGTGTGGTAATTATATGATTCAATAATAAGAAAAAGGACAGGACTGACTCATTTTTAGCTTTAGCTTTAACTTTAACTTTATCTTTTTATGTATGGTTGATTGGGTGGTAATTATATGATTCAAAACTTTTGTGCCCGGGCTTTGAAAAAGAATATCCCACAAACAAAAAAACATTGCTTAAGGCTAACGACTCATCCACAATCAAAATATTTCCTAAACTCGTCACTAATATCACATATTCAAGATTTAACAGTAAGTTTTTCTTTGTATTTTTTTTTTGGTTTTTTCTTTCATTTTTGGGTTGTTAAATCAATAACGCACGATGCGTTTTATTTTATATTTCTTTTAACTAAATTATTTGGTGGCATTTTTAGATATGTCCGGTGTTCGATGGACGTATTTTCAATCCTCAATTGCTGTTGAATTTGTAAGCAGCCTACCTAATCAGTAGGCTTTTTTTCCCCTCCTGTGTGACTTTGCAAGGATGGTGACCTCTTTCTACGAAGACGAAGACTTCGAGTTGAAGACGAAGACGAAGACTTCGAGTTTAGGGCGCAAACTTCCAGCCGTATTATGATTTTTATTTCTTTTATTTTGTTTTTTTAAGGCAACGAATTCCAGTTTTTCCATTAAAGGCAGAGACTTTCCAAGTCTTTCTATTTTCCAACTTGTACGTGGCGCATGCGATAACCAAGTTGCAGTATGAGTTTGATATTGATGTGTTTTAAAAAAAAAATTATTGAGTGTTTTGGTAATTTTATTTATTTATTTTGTAACTCTTTTAACAAAAAAAGAATGTACGACTGTTTGATAAATTTTTATATAAAACTATTGTGAATATGTTAAATGACTAAAAATGATATGGTTTTAAATCTGATATAATAAGCTAAAGAGAATAATTTAAGGGCAATGATTGTAATTTTGTAAAATATGGAGGTGCATTTATCATTTGAAATTTCATTAAATGAGTACCGTTTGCTATGCTTTGGAAAAAAAAAATGTTTTTTTAATTTTGTTTTATAAGTATGGTGGGCATGCTTCTACTTTTTTACTGTCATTACCAACAGTTTTTTTTTATATCACTTTTTTTTTACCAAACTGTGACAACTTGTCCCAAATTTTATTATTTTATAAATTTTAAAATGTGAAATTACGAGAATACCCTAGAGGCGAGGATATTGATTTCCGTTGATCACTAGTTCATGACGCGTATGAATTATTATTGCAATTATTTTAAGGGGTGATTGGAAAAGAAAAGGAAAAAAAAATCGGGGAAGAAGAAGGAAAAACGAATAGAGGAAAAAGAGGGCTACTGCCCAATTAGAAAAGAAAAAAAGAAGGGGTTTTTGCCCAATTAGGAAGAAGGAGGTGTGGAGATGACCAATGGGAGAGCAGGAAAAGAGGGGAAAGGAGGGAGGTGCAGAGCACCTAACCAACCAATTCGACCCGTACACCCACGACAACCCGGTTTCGAACCGGTGTGAAATTCCGGCCACTTCCACCATATTTTCAGGGGAAATTCACCCATCTATTACTAGTAACCTCTTTCATAACCTCCCTTCTTCCATTTCCACCCAAAATTAGAAGGAATTTGGTTGAAATTTGGTGGAAAAACCACCATGGGTGCCGAGGGAAAGGTTGCTTGAGATCCACCAAACCTGAAACAATTTCATTCAATTATCATTACCAATAGACTTCCCTTGAACTCCTGAACAAAGCCCAATAGGTTTTAGGGGCGGTGGAATGTCAAGGAGGAAGAATCGAAGCACACCCTTTATAGGGTTTCCGTCGGAATTTCATGAAATTGAGGTATTCCCGGCCAAATTGGCCTTGGCCACATGTATGAAAGTTGCTCTACTAATTGAGATCTTCATTTCTATAAAATTTGGTAATTTTTGGAAATAGTTGGATTTTCCGGTGAGCCGGGGTGGCCGACCGCTACCCACGGCAGCACGTGGCCAGTGGGCCGATGGTGTCTTCCTAAGTTCAATTAGAGGCCCTGAATTCATAATTGATGTCCGTATGTCGTAATCTGATTATTTGAAGTTAGATTCATTATGATATGTTATTTGGTAAAAATATGAATCAACGATCCGACCGTTGGATTGTCACCAAATTTGATATGTTATTATGCATAATATTTGAGGATCATAGGAACTTACGGATCTGAAATCCAACGTACGGATCTTCCCGAATTGGATTTGTAAGTTTATAAAATAAATGTTAACCGCCACTTGGTTTTGGGCAATTGGCGAAGATTGTAAGGCTAAGCTCACATTATTGCTAGCACATTGTAAGGCTAAACTCACATTCTTCCTTTAGTGTAGATAATATCGTTTGGTATATATAAAAAAAGAATATTTTCAATAGTAGATATTTATGAGATACAAATGTGTTCGGACAAAAAATCATCGTACATTAAACTGTGGCTAAAATGTAAATCACTTGTGCACGTTTTAGAGGTGAACTCAAGGTAATTAGTTTTTATTGTGGACCAAAACTTTAGAAAATGATCTAACATGGATGTATAATTGAGTTTATGAATTTTAATGGGTTAAATTCATAAATATCTCGACTACATGTGGATTTAATATTGTAGTATCTTTTAACTTCTATATTGGTATATGTGGCAAAAAATAAGTACCTCCATGAGAACATTTTGTATATCGATGAAATTTTCAATTTAGGTATTTATTAGATGCCAAAAATTATAAGTCTATTCGCGAAAGTTGAATAGTACTAATTAGTGAATAGTACTAATTAGTAATCCAACATGTGCATGATGTTTGCTTATAATCGTGGTATGAAGGAACAAATGTATATGTTTCATGCATGATTCGGAATAGTATTAGTCGTTACGAGATTTTGCATCACTTTGTCTTTATTTTTAATATGTATGTATTAAGCACTATTTTTATGGGACTGTATTTTTACTTACCACCCTTAAATGATGATAATGTTCACGACTTTATTTATCAGCATCACCATCACCGAACCATCTCGTGATTTTTAATATATGCAGCTAGTCAAAGTCTATGTGGAAAAAAAAAAAATGGAATGTAGACGTACGAAAAATAAAAAATAAAAACTTTAGCTTTTTATTGATTTATATCATTTGGCTTTAACTTTAGCTTTTGCTTTATTTATTTCATTTTCAAAGAGCATCTTTTAGTAAATAAAGGAAAATGCCTTAGCTTTAGCTTTTTCTTTTTATTTATTGATTAGGAAGATCTTTTGATAAAAAGAACAAGGAAAGGACTGAGTCATTTTTAGCTTTAGTTTTAACTTTATCTTTTTATGTATGGTTGATGTGGTGGGCTTTGAAAAAGAATATTCTACAAACAAATAACCATTGCTTAAGGCTAAAGGCTCACCCACAATCAAAAAATATTTTCTAAATCCGCCACTAATATCACATATTGTTGACTACGCCTCACATACGAAATACATCCGACATTTACTTTTTCAATCAAAATTTATCGTAATGCACCCCACATACTTTCCTATACTACCCTCACACCCCAAACTTTATACGGGCTAGTTTGGGGTAGTTGTGGTGTAAAAAAAAAAAAAAAAAGAAAGGTTGTTTTCGTAAGCAGGAGTAGAGCTGTTTATGCTTTTTACTGTTTTGGACCCATGATTTTGACAAAAAGCACTATTTTTTTTTCATTTACCAAACACAATTTTAGCCCCAACATTTTTAAAAAACTTTTTTTAAAAATAATGTCAGCAATGTCAAACCAGCCTTACATACACCACCCCCCCCCCCCCCAACATTCTCTAATTTTTCATTCTCATCACACTTCCAAATTTCAAGACTCTTGCTAAACATGGTTAATCATGAGGTTGACTACATGACATTTAATTGTTGGTTTATGTCACTGGTAGAGCACAAATCCAAAATTTGCATCCCTATCTGTTACTCATCTAGAGTCAATCTCACAAAATTTTGACCCAAAAAAGCATGAGAGGACATGGGTGAATTTTATTATTATTATTTTTAATTATAACGGGTTCAATTCTTTTTACTGTACAAAACTTAAAAGAAAGTAATGCCAACTACCAAACTTACCACTTAGAGAAAAATTTGTTTACATTAAAAGAAAGTAGCGCTGCCTAGGCGCTTGGTGGCTGGCCACCGCTTCAATTAATGCCTAGGCGTTTGAAAATTAAGAAATGACGCCTAGATCTGCTGAGGCACCTGCCTAGGCATCCGCGTAGCCCGCCCAGACCCGCCTAGACACTTGACTAGGTTGCAACTCACTTAGATAGAAAATGGATAACTTTCCTTTTGCATTTTATTGTTTCCAATAAATTGTAAGAGACTTATTGAACACTTAAATAAACATACATTATATGTTTGCTCCTCATGTTTTCATTATGTTCCAATACTTCATAATATATATGTCATTTTATTTTCTAGTTTATGACGAAATTATATATATTTTAAGAATAAACAGACACTTATTTACACAAAATACAATATATTTACTTAAATTCGCTTAAGCGCCTAGCAACCTAGGCGTTAGGCCTCAGCCCATCGCCGGACTAGCGCTTAGCATATTTTAGAATCTTGCAATTAGAGGTTTTAGGATTTTAGGATTCAGGTTTAGACAATCAATTTAGGATAGGTTCATATTAGTAAATATTTTTGTGTATTCAATTTCCTTTAAATTTTTTGGGGCTAAATAGTCATTTCATGTTAAGATACACAATTCATTTAATAATACATATTTATGTGGGGTGTATTCAATAATATGCAGAGTGCTAATCAAAGTTATCCAACTCTTTTAATATTGTAATATCCCAAATTCCTATATTATTATATATATGATTATTAGACTGACATCTAGCCAATCCGGCACTGTTGTCGGTGTTAAAAGGGGAAATCCGCATGGCTAGAGCCAAACAGTGGGTGAATGGTAACAATCGGCACCACCATCCACCTGTGTCCAATAAAAGCGTGCGCTATATATGTCTGTAGATTTCTAGCACTGGAAATACATTAGTTTGTCGTAATATCTTTTTCTACTGTCGCGCTACAAGAGCCTCCATATATGAAGTGGACTAGCAGCCCCTAAACAGAGAACTCTACAACATCTCCACCGCCGCCCTGCCCTCTCAACCTGCAAAAAGCACCATCAAGGTTGACTTTAGGCCACTGTGGACCTTGAGAATGCCGTTGTCACCGTTACCTTGGCTGCTTCCTTTTTGCTTGATTATGTTTAATGGTAAACAAAATCTTGGGGGCTAGCAAAAATGCACTCTACTAATGACATTGAAGATGGTAACTGCTTAGAGGGCAAGGGACCGGCCGAACGTGGGAATGCCATTTTTGCATAATTATCTGAATATTCGGCACAATACCTAAAAACTAATAGGCGATATGGCGAATAATCCAATCTTTTATAAACTCATGCAAAGCCCATCCTCTCATCAATAAAGGATCCATTCTCAACACGTCCCCACGTTTGGTGAATTTTCAAGTCTAACACGTAGACAATATAACGAGGTGACATGAAGCATGTGTGGCCGTTTGTCCTCACTCATAGGATAACCTGCTCTGATACCATGAAGAAAGTTAAAGTTCCACCATAAAACCAATTCGCAATATGGAGAGTAGCCAAATCTCTTATAAACCTATGCAATGTCCATTCTCATCAATGGAATATTCGTTCTCAACAAAGAGATCTTAAACTGATGCTCTCTTTGAAGTTTAAGCTAGTAACTAAGAATATATTATACTTTTAAATTACATTTATTATTATCTGATACTTCATATAAATGACCTAATGTAGAAAAATAAGTCGGTCAATAAAATTATATTCAATTAATAGTTTTAAGAACTACTCCCCATATTGGTAATTGGTTTTATGGTAGAAGTGCAACTTTTTTCATATAGTTCCTTTATTCTCTGTTGGTTGTACGTACTCTTATTTTCAACTCCTAATTCATATCCATATGCTTTTAATGCATGCGCCACATTAGTTTCTCTTCAGTTTATAGGTCTTCATCTACTTGGAGCGGATGTTATCCATCTTCTGTTGTGTACCAAGAAGAGAATCATCTCAACATGTCTGTTGTATATCATCTCAATATGATAGAACACAGAAACATGTATAATTTATTTCATCAGTGTATATAGTAATCAAGCAAAGTACAACAAACAAGAATAAAGCCACACAACAAACAAGAATAAACCCACACAAATCTTTTCTAGGATAAAAAACCGCATGACAGAACAATGCACGCAGGGCCGAACGGCCAGCAAAAGGGATAGTGCCCAACCATTGCCTCCCTCCTCAAAACAACACAATCTGTTGGCGAACACTTGAGCTCACCTGGCACGAGTAAAACAGTTGATGAAAGAATTTTAGTACAACCATGTTATAATCCCCAAGAATGTTATTTTGCATTACATATATCGTTTTTTTATATCATTTACTTGCATCACCCTGTTAATCCCCAAGAGTTTACCTGTCATTGTGGATTGTGATCGCTTTTTTTTGGCCCGTGCACAAGATCTCAGCGGAAACAGTCAGGACACCATTTGCATCAATAGAAAAACAAACATCTGCTTCAACAGCTCCCTTACGAGCTGGAGGAATGTCAGGGATGATAAATCCACCCAAATGATTATTACCTTTGGTGAATTCACACTCACCCTCAAACACTGGGAAGGAGATAGCAGTTTGGTTGTCATAAAGAGTTGTGAAAATTTTGTTATTCTTAGTGGGAATTTTGGTGTTTCTTGGAATCACAACACTCATGTAACTTTCATAACCCGATTCAATTCCAAGTGACATAGGGATGACATCCGACAGTGAGAAGTCTCGAAGCTTCCCAGCTATATTTCCACTCAAGACTGCAGCTTGAACAGCGGCTCCATAAGCCACGGCCTCATCCGGATTTATGCTCTTACACAGCTCCTTTCCCTTGAAAACCTCCTGTAATATCTCTTGCACCTTGGGAATTCTAGAAGATCCACCAACAAGAACGACGTCATCAACATTGCTTATATCCATTTTGGCATCTTCCAAACACTTTTTCACAGGCTCCATGCACTTGTTGAAGATATCCATGTTCATTTCTTCAAATAGGTCACGGGTAAAGTTTGTGTGAAAATCTTCACCCTTATACCAAGAATCGATTTCAATATCAGTGTCAAAGGAAAACGAAAGTGCCTTCTTTGCCTTCTCACAGGCAGTTTTGGCCTTCCGAAGAGCTTTGGCGTCTCCACAAATGTCCACGTTTTGCTTTCTCTTGAATTCCTCGACACAGTAATTCACCATTCTGTTGTCCAAGTCTTCACCTCCAAGGTGAGTGTCTCCAGCAGTGGACTTCACATCAAAAGCGCCATGACCTATGGTAAGCAGTGACACGTCTAAAGTACCGCCACCCCAATCAAATATAATCACATTTCTCTTATTAAACCAACCGGCTTTCTTGTCAATGCCATAAGCGACGGCTGCAGCAGTTGGTTCATTGAGAATGCGCAACACCTTTAAGCCGGCCAATTTACCAGCCTCTATTGTAGCCTGACGCTGCGAATCGTTGAAGTAAGAGGGGACGGTGATAACTGCATTTTTTTCACTTATCTTTGAGCAGAGGTAGGACTCGGCAATCTCCCGCATCTTTGCTAGAACCATGGATGAGATATCTTCAGCAAAAAATTTTTTCTCTTCACCCCTGTGGGTAACCGCAATCATTGGCTTGTCAGCAGGACCTTCTATGACCTTGAATGGCCAAAGCTTCTTATCTTTTTGAACAGAGTCCTCGCTGAACTTCCTACCAATTAGCCGCTTTGCATCTGTCAAGAGTTACTTTTAAATTAATTATTTCTTAAAGTGATTTATTTTTTTAACTTACTTTTACCAACCTATATAATAGCGGGGCAGCTAGATTCTCGTCCAAAAATTATAGTTATTTTTTAAATTGAGTCCAATTGTAACATATTTATATCTTAAGAAGACTACAAAATTTTCCAAGCGAAACATATTTAAAATAGAATTGAATACAACTAATTCTGAAGAGATAGATTACAATTTACAATTAAAAGATATCTATAACATAGGTAGCTAAAAACCATTTATCTATAATGCAGGTGTATTATCGAGAAAAAATATCTACGATATAGGTAATTAAATAAGTAAAAAGACTGATGCAACATGGATTTTGAAGGGTTAATTCTTATGATTTAGGATATATAATTGAGATATTTTTGATATAGGCGCCTTAGTTTTGAATTTTCTAGATCAAACATCCATGTTTTTTAGTGATTTGATTAAACTTTTGTTTGTCATAATTTTGGTGCTATATGCACATTTTGTAACAAATTTCATATAATCTAGCCTTTTGATTACACTTTCCTCCGTTAGAGATAATTGTTAAAAAAAAAAGTTGGTTAGATTCAATTTATTTTCACAATAATGCTACAATTCAGCAATAATTATCTAGGATTTAAGATATTTTCTTTCCAAAATAGTTTAAAATATTTTTAAATCCCCCAAAATCAAACGTACCGAAATAAGTTTTTCTTTTAGTATGTTAAGAGAAAATAGGATTGAGAATCATATAAATGTACCAATACACAATGTGTACAAAATAAAACGTACGAAAATAAAAATAATGTACCAATATTAACAATATGTATCAAATCAAACGTACCAAAATAGCAAATAAACATACCAATTAATAATTTTTGTAAATTCAAACGTACCCACATATAATATATATGTAATGTATTGTACCTAATAATAATTCTTCAACAACTATACTTAAAAAAAAACAGCAAAAAAAAAAAAAATATCACAAAAAAAATTACACAGAACTTTTATGTTGATCACCAACTATTCAAATCAAACGTACCAAAATTGCAAATAAACGTACCAATTAATAATTTTTTTAAATTCAAACGTACAAACAGATAATATATATGTAATGTATTGTACCTAATAATAATTCTTCAACAACTATACTTAAAAAAAACAGCAAAAAAAAAAAAAAAAAAAATTTCACAAAAAAAATTACACGGAGCTTTTATGTTGATCACCATCTATTTGAAAAAGAAAAAAACCATTTGGAAAAATAAATAATATTAAATGTTTGCATAACAAAAAACAACTGTGATCGAAAAAACATATTTGGAAGAAGAGAAAATATTGTTTAATTACTAATATCTCTATTAAATAAGGAAAAGTGTATCATGCAGGTAAAAAGATAAATGCAAAAATTATTTTAATTTAAAAAAATAGAGATGAATATTGGTCAAAGCACTTTAATCAAATTTAAAAAAAGCACAGATGCTTAATCTAAATAATATAGAAAAATTGTAAAGGATTCTAATTTTCCCTATATAATTCTCCAAAATTTTTAATTTTATCACAAACTTAATAAAAATATAATAATCATTAATTGGACCTATTTTAGAAAGTGAATTATTCCAAATAATAGTTCACAAAAATTGAGTTGGAGGGTATTTAAGTTAGTTTGGTATTGTTATGCTTTAGAAAAAAAAAATTATAATATTTGATAAATATTTATATAAAACAATTGTGATGGTGTAAAACGAAAAAAAAAAAGGGAAAAAAAAAAAAACACTCAACTTATGAGCTTTTCTTCCTTTCTTTTTCTTTGTGCCAGAAAGCTCTTCTTCTTGGTTTCTCTTTCCTTCTAGCTTTTTCCTTCTTCTTTGTATTTCTTTCTGACAAAATATTTATGGCTTTTCTTCCATTTTTCGTCAATGACCGACCCCTCTGGCGATCTGGCTTTTCTTTCTATTTCTTTCTATTTCTTTCCATTTTTCGTCTATTTCTTTCTGACAAACATTTATGGCTTTTTCTTTATACCTTTTTTCCTTTCTTCTTTGTCACTCCCGTTTTCATTTCCTGCGATCTGGAACCTTTGCCTCACTCCCATTTCTATTTTCGGCATTTCGATTTTCAGGGCGTTGCATGTTTTGGGAGGTGGGGTGGTGGATGGTTGGGTGGGATCTGGGTTGTTATCTAGCAGGGAGTGGGTTGGGATCCGTGGTCAGCGAGGTGGCGATGGGTGTATTTTGGTAGGGATTGGGAGAGAGATGGGATGGCGAATCTGGGTAGCACGGCGTCGGAGAGCAATCGCTCAGACTGGAGAAACGGGGGTGGGGTCAAGAACTGGGATGAAGGAGAAAGAGTGGGTAAGGTTGCCATTTTGAAAAATTAATTTGATGGCACTGTTCACCGTGTTTTGTGATAAAAGGTTAGTTTTTTTGGCTCAAAACTATGAAAAAAAAATACTGATTTTGAAGGTTTATTTTTTTTAAAATTTAAGCGGTACCAAACTGGTACTCAGCAGGATACCAATAAAAATTGAACTAAATGTATATGAACTAAGTATTGCCAAGTCGGGTACTTGAGCAGGATATCAATAAAGATTGAGACCAATAAAAGTTTTCAACTTCCTAAAAGCTAACTAACAGAAAACGTAGGCAGTATAGTAGTTTAAGTATAGAAAGAAATTAACAGGCAAACGGTAAAGAAATGGTCATTTTAAACCTACCAAAGATTGAGTTGGCGGGGAATCTCCCGACTTGGTTAAAAGCTTCATCACCTACCAACCTCTTACTTTCAGTGAATGTAACATATGATCGAGTCGTCCTGTTACCGTGGTCGTTTGCTATGATTTCTGCATGATCGTCCTGCCACACTGCTACACAAGAATATGTTGTCCCCAGATCAATCCCGATGGCATGGCCTTCTGCCATTTCTCAGCTCCGGAGCTTGAAGAATACTTTTTTATTTTTTATTTTTTGAAGGATCAGAGAGGTTCAAGAAGAACGTAAAATGATAAACATGATTGCAGGAAATAGATGTGGAAGAAGATTTATATGGGAAGAAATGAAAAGTCCGAGTCAATACTTACTTACGCACTAAGGTACCGTTTTGTATGCTGACGGGACGGAACAGTGGTTCCGTGTTATGTTTGGTACGCGCATAACGGAACGGGACGGTTGTTTCATTCTGTGTTTGGTAAGCTCAGAACGGAACGGAACCAAAAGATTAAATGACTAAGGCCTGGTTTGGTACTGAGGTGATTCTGAAAAAAGTGTGTATAAAAAAAAGCTGGGAGTTTTTTTTGTGTTTGGTAAACATTAAGCTTCAGTTTTTTTTCAGTTTTGGGTGAAAAAAAACCAAAAAACACAAAGCTGCAAAACCCAACTTTGAAAAACCAGTTATTTTTCACATCTGTTTTACATAAAAGTTTACCAAGCACTATAATACTGTTTTTTTTTAAGTACTTTTACAAAAAAGTTTACCAAATACTCTGCTGCTTTATTTCATAGTTGCTTATTCTCACAGCATAGCAGAAACAACTTTTTTTTCAAAGCACAACAATACCAAACCAGCCCTAACTTACCCATATTCTCTCTATTGTTTGGTACAATGTTATACCTGGGACGGGATGTGCCATTTTTTTTTTTAACTTTTTCATATTTGAAGTTTGAATACATATATGCTTATCTATGATATATTTTTTACACTAGCACATGACTGAAGATATGTCTGCCATGAATTTCATCTTGCTAACATCACGGTCATGAATAATTGCTTGAAGGTTACTAAAGAATGTTGACCATGTGTTCAACCTCGCAGCTGATATGGGCGGAATGGGCTTCATTCAGCCCAACCATTCTGTCATCTTTTACAACGATACCATGATTAGCTTCAATAGGGTTGAAGCTTATCGGATAAATGATGTGAAAAGGCAACATTCATCAGTGTAAAAATTATCAGTCTCTATTTTCCGGAAGTAGGCTTCCATAAATGTTTACATACTTTAGTAAATCACATAAAACTGCAAATGCATTCCTATCAATTCACAGCTCCTACAAACAATTAGTATCACTCAATCGGATACGATTTATCTCCTCTCTCCTAACATGAAGTCTAACAAATGTTCTTTGCTCTAAACTAGCTCTTTCCCTTTTTGTCTACTCTATTGTTGTCTATACCTCAACAATTGTGCATTCATAGTAAAGATTTGTGCCATTATAATCCAAATGTTCAAAAGAACAAAGAAGTGAGTCTCATATTCATCTATGTCTTCATATGCAAAAAAAAAACAACACATGAATGAGTGGAGCATCAAAACACGCAGGATTCAATTTCAAGGTATGATTAAATGGTAAAACAAAGTGGAGCATCAATTTTTTGAATAAATATTCAGTTCAAAACTACGTCAAAAACAGCAATCCAAAATATATTGTAAGATACATGTATATTGCACAATATATTATCCGCACTTCTTCTCATATATAATCTCTGTAAAATTCAATTTGAAAGGTAATAACCGTGTATTCGTTCGTAAGAGTCGGACTAAGGACGTTTAACATATATGTATAACAAAGTCGGCAATGAAACACAATACTATAAAAATGAAAAGAACATATATTTAAAACAATTCACCTATGAAAAAGTTGAGAAATATGCACGAACCTCCAAAGTAAGAAAGCGCATGTGTCTGAAAAGCCTTTTGGCTGAATTTCCCAACAATCTAACATGCTTGGTACATTGAAGCTCAAAAGAAAGAGAAACTATTCAGCAAGTGGACTAAGTTTTAAATACACAAACCAAATACAAAATTGTATCCACACAATTGCAACACGTTGTCGCTCCGTAATTCTTCTATGCAAAACCATACAACACATAGATATGACATTCTATATCCTAAAGAGAATAATGGCACATTATGTATCCACAAAATTGTATCCACACAATTGCAACACGTTGTCGCTCCGTAATGCTTCCCTACTAGCAAAGCAATTACAAACTTACATGATGTCTCACAACATGATGTCTCACATGGTTAAAGACAAGGGCTACTTTTACAAAAGAAAAGCACCAAGTAATCAGCCACAGAGCATTTCACATTAATCCTTCGAAAAAGTAAAAAAATCAACAAAGACGTAGTACTTGGCCAATAACAAACGTTAGATAAAAATATTATGAAAGGAAGAAATATGCACATGACGAAACCTTCATGAATGACATGCAAATACATAACTACCATGTACCAAGCTTGATTGGGTACAACCTAGAAGAGCCATACACATTATAGAAACACACAATTGCAAGGGAAATTAAAGGTTTATTCGCTCCAGAAAACAGAAATAAGAGCTCACATAACTAAAAGGTTAATTAGGAGATAAGGAATTCAATGTGAATAATGAATCCAGAAATAGTGGCCTATGTAAAATGAAAATTTTAAGTCACATTACATCTCATTCGTATGACAAAATAAATACCTAACTGCTTATTTAAGCGTATCACAGATTCACATTAGCAAAGAAAATAATCCATTAATCAATGCGGAACCTTCTGTACGTTTATCTAACAAATAAAATATAAAATCTCTGCACATGTTAGAGCATAAAGGCATGAAAATAGCTTGACTATGACCTTTAAATCTTCTTGGTAAGAGTCAACCGAATTCTGAAATCAATAATTTCTTTCTATACCGTATACCACAAAACTAATTAGCCCCAGAAATTAGCTCCACTTAGAACTAGAGATTAGATAAACCAAGTGCTGGTGATTATTAAAGAGACCCTTCTATATTTCAACAAGTTCAAAAGAATAATTCACTAGGGTTCCTTTTCATAGCTAGCAGTTACATGATGAAACACATGGTGAAGCATAAGGGGTTCTTTTACGAAAAAAAAATCGTCAAGTATTGAACCGCTAACATTTCAAAATATGCACACTCAGATGCGGTTGGTAAATATTAACACGTAAACTAGAAATAAAAACACATAACACAAATACCTGCTCACAATGTAAACACAAAGAATGGATGTTGAGTTTAAGTTTGTACTCTTAGGTAATTTACTCACGTTTACTTGGAAATATGGACCGTGGAGAGCCCTGTTGGAAAGTATAATATTTTTTTAATTATTATTATCAATGGAAGGAGAGGGATTCGAAACTATTACAATAATAAAAGGAGAAGGAGTTTAGAACGCGGGAAGCATGATAGAAACTTAACACCCTGTTGAGCAAAAATTGTACATAATATGTAAACAAATAATTCACTCGACACAATTTCACCCTCGTTCATTTTTCCGAAGAGGGTTTTATTAATTCGAGTTCGACCCATTCTAGGCTACGTGCCTATTAATTACAACCCTTCTTTTGGAAAGGCATACCCTTTGATTCTAATTTGAATAAATCATAACTTGAGGATTTGGGTGTTTGTTTGATTTGTGACTGCATCTAGGTAGAATCCTAGATTGCCTACGTACCCTCGTTGAGGGATCAAGTCACTCGTAGTTTATGTATTTGTTGAGGTTTGATGCTTTGTGCAGTTTAAGCTCGTGCAGGCAAGGAGCATTTGAAAATTTGATATGGCTTCATGCCATTTGAGACTTTTCTTGGGCTTGCCATTTGAGACTTTGATATGGCTTCGTGCCCTTTGAAAACTTTTCTTCGGCTTCGTGCCATTTTGGTATTTGATAACAGGAGTGGATTTAGTTTATATAAACCAGAGATTCGCTTCGGTTTCACGGTTGTGTCTATAACTTGATATTAGACTGCCTACGTATCCTTAACGGAATCAAACCGGCGTAGTTCATTATTTGAATGAATTTTGTGTTCAGATTTTTAGGAAAATGAGGAGCCATTTGGATTGGATTTGAATAATTAATAGGTAATGTAAATGACCCATTAATTTGAGTAGGACAAACTGGGAGGTTTTTTTTTAGGACCATGTCACATCCACTCTTTCTTCTCCACTTGAGCGAACTTCCCGTGAAATACTTAGTTCAAAGTGGAATGAGATTTGCTTTTCCTTTCATTAGAAAATGGGACTCAAAGTCTATCCCACGTGAGGTGCATAGATCAAAACTCATTTAGAGAACCCTTTTTTTTATATTTTCAACCCCATTAAAAAAAAAAGGGATTTTGAACCCACTTTGAATTTTCGAACTTTCTGACAAAAAGCTTTGCTCCTCCCTTTTTTCTATATGATTTTTTAAAGCTTTTAAGTTCAACCACTATTCTTCCATGTGGGCAAAACTTCACGTGAGGTGCAGCCTTTATTCACCCTTTTTTTTGTTTGATGTTGCTTCCATCCAAGTGATGCTTCCTTCCATCCTTCTTTTATTTCTCAGACAAAAAGACATAACGGCAGCAACCGACATCTTTCAGAGGTTTTGTTTTTGTCCTATTTCTTTGCCGAGCCAATAATTATTTGAAGTATGCTATTGTTGGGGCTTTTGTAATTGTAAGAAGGCACCCTTTTCTTTTTTGACTTAGTAGTCTCTCCTTCTTGTGACTGACGAGGATGGGTAGTACGGAGATGCAATTTTGGGCCAACATCGACGGAGCCATTAAGGAGTGTAGATTGATCTTTGAAGTTGTGGTGAACGGAGAGGTTCTTGGAGACAAATATCAACTGCGGTGGAAAGAGTTTGCCCTTGTGGTTGTTGTTGAAGGAAAGCTTCAGCTTGGCGAGGTTGTCGAGCAGCTTTGCAAGAGACCTTGTGGAAGAAGATGGAGGAGTCGCTGTCGAACTTGGAAGTGGGTTGAACCGAAGACCTCTTGGGGAAGCTGAATACTAGGGGAGTCCTCGAAGATGTGGTTGGCGGAGACGGCGGCGGTGCTTGCAAATGTCTTCATTGGTGTTGTCGAAGTGTTAGTGATCGATGATGTCGCAGCGGGCTATTGTCAAAGTCCATGTGAGAAGGCAGTCCTCCGGTTCCAGTTTGTCGCGAAAAGTGAGAGAGCTTCGGAGCCATCACTAGGCACAGTGGTTTGGCACTGTTTCTTCATGCAAGTCGTACTTCCAAACTTCTTTAGGCACCCATTCCTTCA